ACTATTATTTATTTAATGATTAGGGTTTAAACCTAATGGTTATATTAATAATGCTGCACTTTACCTCTACACCTTCACGTGGTTCTTGCTGAACAATGAAATATTAATTAGACAAAAATGAGGTTTATTTAAAATAAACGTCATTTTTACAATAAAATATATTTCATTGACAAAGAAGAGGATTCCTTCCCCACCACAGTCTAAGTTTTTTACTTAGTTTTAAGTATAGGTTGTGAACTGCGACGTCAGTTTTTTTAAGTTGGGTTTAAAAACCCTGCCTCTGCCTCACCAAAATGAAATGTCACGGGCCGCCACTGCTTGAAATTGACGTGTTTCGTCAAATTTTTATGGTGTCATCAGTTAAAGAAATATTAAGTGCTGTTCGTTTTAAATTGTCACCCTGTATATATATCATTATATTTACTATACCTTACAATATTGAATATCAAACAAACAAAAGTCAATTTTCAGAAATAATAAAACTGCATTCTGTTTTTTAGTGCGTCTCGTTTTATATCTCACTTATTTTCAGTAAATAAATACGGCTAGTATATTTCATAATTTCGCTAAAAGTAGCTTCATGTTCAGATTTTCAATAAAAATATCGATGTAATTTATTGATATGAATGAAAGTTTGACGTGTAGGATATTATATAGCATTAAAAATGGTTATTTATCGTTTTTGAAACAAGCAAATGTTGCTGTCTATAGATTTATATGTATTTTTGATTATGAATATTTACAGAAAATGTCGTGTTTGAGAGAATCGGCTTTAAATTTGTATTCTTTTGAGCTTGCAGCTTGCTTCGTGGACATCATTAAAAATATATCACATATCAGGTCCGCATTCCGGAATTTTATTGTCACTTTTCACAATAGCTATTGTCCTTTGATTTATTTAACACTGTCGCGGTGCACATACACAAAGGATGTGGCATGGTAAACAGTTAAATTTCATATAAACCAAAAGTAACAAAACTGAAAATGTATTTTTAATTTTTTCCCACTGAAAGTACAATTACACAGGGTGGAACACTTTAAAAGAATAGCCACATGAGCACCAATCGACGTAAAAAGTAAAAAGTGAAATTTATATTCGACGGGAAAACCACGGAAACCTCGAGATACCTAACAATAAAAAGTATTGTTTTATTCAAAGCACCTAAAAATAGGTGAGTATGCAAAACAAAAAACAATTATCAACAAAGTAATCAATGATAACAAAAATATAAATTTTTAATAAATGTACCCTGATAGCACACTTTATTCTAAGAATGTTTTTTAAACCTTCCAGTGAGAATATTCTTAGGATCATACTATATTTCTTCTAAAGAACATGCTTAAAAGACATATAGCATGATCCTAAGAATATTCTCACTGGCCTATAGGGCCTATAGTATAGGCAGGTTCTTAGAAGGTGCAAAGTTTTACTGGTAAAAAGTAGTCTCCTCTAAACATATGCTTAGAATGTTAAGAAAGTAATTGCTATAGAAAGTTCATTTAGGAATATTCCTGTTAAGCATATTTAGTTCAGTTACCTATATAATAGTAAAATATACCATAAACTACTTATAAAGGTAGTTTTAATTAGTAATTAGTATTAAATACTAAGTAAAAAACACAATTCAAAATATTTTTTTTAAGTTATTTGTCAAATTAAAACAATAATCGATAACAAAAATACTTTTACTATAGGTATTTTATTTTATGTTAAAAATAAATATTTATTAATTTGTATACCGATTTTTTATTTCTGAATTAACATTTTTATGTATAATAATCCTTACTATCTTTAACTTCAATCTAATCTGACTTATCCCACAAAATTTTCCAATTTTACTTTTTATGAAATAATGTCATACAACTTATGGTTTAGAGGTTAAATTGTTTATTTAATATTTTTAAATAAATATATATTAATATGTAGCAAATTTTTTAAAGGGGACGACAAATACATTTCACTGTCATATTATAACAGTGAGGCGTATTTGTCGTCTCCTGAAGAATTTTACTAATATGGAATACAACATATTAGAACGTGGGTATCTGACATATTTGGAAATATTCTCAAAAGCTTCGAAGAAGCTCCATAAGAAACCTTCCAAGAACATTCCAAAAGTGCTTTCTTAAAATGTTCTTAGGATGCTTTTTAGGAAGGTTTTAAGAATCTAATTGTATCATTAAAAGGGTATCTATTGAATGTTTTAAAAGTCCCTAAGAACATTCCAATAAGGAAAGGTTCGAAGAATATTCCATTATTCCGGGTCATATCTTCTTAGAAGATTCTTAAAATCAAATTTTGCTATCAGGGTAGATTATTGCCCACTGTGCAAGCATAGTTTGCGTCAATCAGTGGCCGCCCAAAATTTCTACTTTACTCATAAAAATTTTAATGATCATCCCATTAAAGGATGACAACTTATTTTGTGACACTCTATATAGAAGCGAATATATTAAAAATTATAGGATTTTTTAAAACAAGCTTCCAAATTAACAAATTAATAACTTATAGAAGGTGGCCCAACGATAACAAAACAAAGCAATAATATAAAAAAAGCAAAAACACGTCATCTTTTTCAATAGATTTCACTTGGACATCACTTCACCGCTTCCCGCAGTAGCCACAACCCCTAAAATTTTAATATGCATGATATTGCAAGGAATAAAAAAATAGTCAAATTGTATTAATTTGTTTTCGAGATATTTAAAATTCAAATAAAATGTTTTTTCTACTCCAATCTTTAAAACACCCTTTATCGTACATGTTTCCATGAAACTAAGTGACCTTTTAAATACACATTGACAAGTTGTGGCTTTAGTCACGGGCTGAAGTTAGTTTTAATTTAGTTGACAGTTGTCAAATGTCATACAATCGTTAAAATAAAGTGCCTTTCTTGTAAAATAATACTAAATGTGAAAATTATTTTATTATCTCAATACAAAAATACAAAAGTATTAAATAGTTTTTCAACGCCAATATTTGAAAAGTTTATATGAACATTGTACTGACCTTTAAATTTCGCCGGCAGTAAACTATAACTTAAATTCGGGCACGGACTCCACTGTAAAGTGCTTATAAAACATTTTCTTTGCTTTCACTGTGAAAAACTGTCAATTTTCAAGAAATACATTTCGATTTATAACCTTTATAATCTGTATTTATAAAATAAATATGACATTTGACGGTGACACAGATTCCCCTATTGTTTCATAGATGGTATTTTTCGTAGAAAAAGTATAGTATGCACCTCGTTTATAAACTTTTCTATACACTCATTAATTTATGCACTCGCTCGCAAGCTCGCTCGTGCCTAAATTAAATTCGTGTAAAAAATGGCGTTTATCAAACTTGATACATAATATACTATTATTTTAACCAACCATAATTTAATTAATTTAGATCCTGTTATAAAATTGTATACTGCATTTTAGTTTTTTTAATAAAATGGAAACAATATAATAATTATACAATAAAGCATATTTCTATTAAATCTAGAACAAAGAACAAAAAGTTTTCTTTAATTTTAAAATTCTTTGTTGAGTTTATTTTGTATATAAATAAGTATAATACGAGTGTAATATAGCGGCGCATTCGCCTTTTTTGCAACTTTTCCATTTTCAAACTTGCAACGCTAATTAAGCTTAACTGAATTTTAAAACTAACGCACTTACATGTAAAAGTAAAAATGTAAACCTTATTGAGTAACTCTGAAATAAGTTCATTAAAAATTTTAACTTTATTTCCTGTTTCAAGTTTGTCCATCTATCTATCGCCACTAGCTAGGCAGGAATAAATTGATAACTTTGTTACCCTTAAACTGGTTTAAGGGATTCAGTACAATCTATCTATATGTTTTAACATCACGAACAAAATTACATATATACAGGGTCCGGCAGAAATAACGATATGGTTTTAATACAATTTGAACTATAAAACATTGTTCAATGAAAAAAGTTGCTATTTCGTTAGTATTAAGTTTTCTTAAGTTTTAAAACGATTACGAGGCATACATTTCAAGTATTATTAAATTTGAAACAATTTTAAAAGTTTTCAAATTATAAGCATTTTACTTAACCGTCTTTGTTCAAATAATTCCTCTTAATATTATTATATTTCGTGGCCATGGTTTTTATGTTCTACTCAAGATGTCAAAGCAAAATATATGGCATAGTATATTATGTTTTTTCTTTGTGGGTGAGGTTAAATTTATGTATAAATATAACAATAAACTGCTTAATTTTATAAAGTTTATAATGAGTTTCTGGCCAACTTTAATAAAATGCTGGTGTATTACGCATTCTTTTTAACTTTTGATTGTTTTTGAATTTTTAATAGTACTGCTCAAAGTTGGCTTGCGTTATCATTTATCTTTGTCATTTTTCTTTTTTACTCTTTATATTGTTCATTTAACTTATTTTAACAAGCAATTAGTTGAATTTTTTAGTAAAAACTCCGCCATATAGACAATTTTTAATAAATAAGTCAACTAACAAAGAAACACTATTTTTAGATAAAATAAATATGTATTGCGAATGCTTTCGCTAATAGCCAGTATTTATTGCTTGAAAAGTTAAGTAAATTTTGCTGTTTTTAGATTTCGCAAATGCTGAATTATATATCGAACGAAAAAAAATGTTAAGCCTGAATTATTGTTGAAAATAGTCGCATGTCCTTTTATAATGCCCAATGATATATGAATCGGTAAATCGATAGGTACCATGTTTACGATTTTCGAAAAAAATGCAATAATTTTGCACCAAAAAACTATTTGAATTTTGTTGCAAAATTATTGGATTTTTTTAGAAATTCGTTAATAAAAAATGCCCAAAATTAAAATAATATTGGGAAAGGATAATGCAAACAAATTTAATACTACCTTTCCCAACTCATATATACATATATATATATAAATATTAATTTTTTATAAAAATATATAAGATATTAAAAAAATATTATGATATTTTTTGAGACATAGACACTAAACATTGGTTAGACTCACCGCGTGGAGCCGGCGTTTGGAAGAGGGGTTGTACGTGATATCGCGCCCGCGTTTAGAACACAACTACCCGTCAGGAGTTTCTCCTGTTGGACGGCAGGATGCAAGGATCTGATTAGGCGGCGCTGGTCTAAATTTTACATTTTTGCCAACACATCACTGTTTGGTGGCCTGGTGTGCTTTCATCACCCAGTATATATATATATATGTGTGTGTATATATATACTATACGAGGTGTGTTCAGAAAATGTCGGGAATTTTAGTTTTTTGAAACAAATATTTATTTATTCGTCTACATTAATGTTGTCCCCTTCAAAATAGTCCCCATTGGATATTATGCACTTAAACACTTCTAAAACTCGATCTTTGGGATAGCCTTTAGTTCTTTCAGCGATGCGCTTTTAATGTCATCTATGCTTGCAAAACGACGGCCCTTTAAGGTTCTCTTTATTTTGGGAATAGGAAAAAGTCAGACAGCGGCATGTCTGGCGAATATGGAGGCTGGGGCATCATTACAGTATTGTTTTTGGCCAAAATTTTTGTTCTAAATTTAACAATTTTAGAACAAATTTTGTTGCCAAGCGTTTCATACACAAAACATTTGAAAAAATTTCATGGGATGAGCCAATCGATATACCAACATCATCAGCGACTTATCTGATGGTTTATAACCATTTCTTCCACTTTTTCCATGTTTTTATCGGGTGTTAATGTGCTTGTGCGTTCGGGGCGTTCGTCATCTTCAACGTCTTCACGGCCATCTTGGAAACTCTTATACCACTTGTAAACTTTTGTTTTACTTATAGCACTATAGGCCTTTGTTGACATTTCACAGAATTTATTTCATTTTTTAAGCAAAATTGGATACAAATTCTTTGATCCATTTCTTTTAACGAACGAAAAATCGCCGAGCTCATAAAACACGTCTAACCTTAGCGGCTGCCACAGACAAAGTAAATAATGAAAACAGCTAAAGTTGTATCATACTTCGGGGGCATGTATACCAACATAATAAAGAAAATTTTATGACAACCGGACCCTCCGAACCCGCAAAATTTAACAATTCCCGTTATTTTCTGAACACACCTCGTATGTATGTACATATGTGAGTAGAGATGCGTGTTTTAAAACGGTATAAACTAAAGTTTACAGTCAAATATTATTTTCAATGGTTAACAAACAGACGTGTTTTACTATTTAAATAAAATTTAATACTTTTAATGACTATTCAAGATCAAAGTTTGAAGAAACGTAAGTAAAAAAATTTAGTTATTTTATAGTTTTGTAACCCATTGAAAAATAATTATTTTCAAATGAGTATGACATATTTTTGAGTATTTAACGCTCTACAAAAAAAGTTGTGATGTTTTTAATTGATTATTCTGTATATATAGTATATATATATATATATATATATATATATATATATATATATATATATATATATATATATATATATATATTATATTAACTTTTTTTTAAAATTTGGATTTATCTTTTAAAAGAGTAGAAACTAACACAAATTTAAGGCATAATGCTTAAAAACTAAGACCTTAAATTTTTGTAGAGAAGGATATTGAGCACCATCAAAAATTAAATGTCTGGGCCGGCATAAAATTGTTGGCCCAATACTGGAAGATACTATTGATGTATTACAAAGAACTTTAAATATCAGACAGATAGGGATGGAAACCTGATACTATAGTAGAGAAGAACCTTCACTTTCAACAAGACGGGGCACCATAACATTATGCATTGCCAGTCAGAAATTGGCTTAACTTGCGTTTCCCTAGCAAATTGATTGGCCGAAGAGGACCGTTAGAGTGGCCCTCAAGATCACTAGACTTAAACCCCTTGGACTTTTATTTATACATAACATTGTCGTTAGTTTATCAGACTCCATCTGACACACCAGAAAAGTACGACAATAATTTGGTAATCGTCTTTACTATTGTCTTCAAGATAATGAAGAACATTTTGAACATTCATTTAATTAATAAGTAAAATATTTTATCTATTTTGCGTTCATAATGACTTCATTATATTACCGCTTTCGGTGTTGTAATGAGATACTTTATCCCACCCAAAATTTTGATTTTATAGGTTGGCTACACTTTAAACAGCATAACATTTTGCATATTGGTTATAATATTTTTATGATTTTTCTTGTACTTTTCTGGCAATAAATTTTGTTTAACACCAAAAAAAATCCTTTTTTTCTTCTTTAACATTAACAACCGCTTATTGTAAATAAGTAAATTAAGGACGGCATGGCGAATCGATTTTGACATTAACTGTCAAACCAATGACTGTGATACCAACTATCTAAAGTAAAATTCGACCAAATTAAATTTAAGACATAAAATTATTTTTTTTATAGAATTTTTGCAAAATAGATAAAATAGCATAAAGAACTCATGTCATAAGACGTCATTTTGTCGCACGCGGACAATTTATAAAACGAGCGACGAAGGATCGAGTTTTGTAATGGACGAGTGCGACAAAAGGTCTTATGACATGAGTTCTTTATGCTATTTTATCTATTTTGCAAAAATTCTATAAAAAAAATTAATTTTATATCTTAAATTTAATTTGGTTTAATATACTATTATATCACAATGACTATTAATTATTGCACCCGTTTTTAATGAAAATAAGAAATTATTTAGTATCAGATTTTAATCAGAAAAATATATTAATCAATAGAACCCGCAAAAATAAGTTGAAAAGTTTATATAAACTTTATTATTATTCTTTAAAACTTTGTTTTCAAGATACAGGGTGTTAAGGTTATTAAACAAAATTGTGGTCACGTCACTGCTTTTTTATGAGTTTGGTATTATATTTAGATTAAGCAACTATAAAAGTAACTTTTTGTTTTTTTGCATTTTTTCTCTATCTTGCTTAATTTTCATAAAAAAATTAAATTCTTTTATCCATTCGTGACCATAATTTTTCAAGTGTCTGGCGAATAAATAAATTACTTTTTTCTTAAATTAAACAAAATAGGGCACAAAAAAATTGCACCCAATTTTTTTTTAGTATCAAGTCAAAATTTAATTAAAATTAATATTTGTATAAACTCTTATTTTTGCGAGTTCTTTCGACCACTAAATTTTCCCGAATAAAATCTGAAACACCCTGTATATGAAGAGTGTTTCCATCTTTTGCATTTATCTAAAATTTAATGTAGGTAAGTGTAACATTACAGTTCACTGTAAAATAAATTCATGCACATAACCTATAATGTCAAACGTCAACATGATCTAAATGTCGTGTAGATACAGAATTATTAAACGCTTAGAAAAGAGTAAATAAATACACAAAATTTAAGAAAAGTTTTAATATTGATTTATAGTAAATTATTTAAAAAAATTAATTTTCTTTAAAACCCTGTATCTTAAAAAGGTAGCAAATATGACCCTTTATATGTTAAATATTTAATATTTTCTTATTTTAAATTTTTGCAAAAATGCCGTGGATAATTTTTCATTACATTTTTTATACCGACTCTTAAAGAAAATATATATTTGTATCTTCAAAGGATAACTGTCCAATTGTGTTTATAATAATATTTTAATGGCATTCTTGGAAAGAGTATTTCTCATTGTGTATAGTGACAATACTTTTTTCTAAATTTTTAAGAAAGCTTAAGGGCATGGGAAAAAACAAAAAGAAGAAAAAGTGATAGAACGAACGTAAGCTGCGAAGTCCTGAATGTAATTGCTCGACTGAAAAGCAAGTTGGAATTTAGGTTTTACCACTCAATATTATATATTTATCGTTTCTGGCGTACCGTAGCATTCTAAATTTATACGCCACCACGGTATTAATGAAATCTTATTTTCTATTAGAAATAATTTTATTTGATGATAAAAAAAATTTCAAATAAAAATAAAGCATCGGCAATCATCAAAGCAAAAGTTTATTATTTATGGCATCTCATAAACAAACTTTGGGTTTTGTTTTCATCTAAAATCGGAAACCAAAATGACGGTCATGGTAAATAAATTTTTCTCCAAAGAAAAAGCGAAACTGCTGAGACAAAGGAAATAATCTGAATACATTCACCGCTCTTATAAAACAAAATGTTTATTAAAAACACTACACAACTTTATTTACTTTTTTTGTTTCCATTGTTTTTATATTTGCATTTTATTTTTCCTCTATTGCAACAATATTATAAATTACAACTGTATTTTATACGAATAAATATAAATATTTGCATACAAATCAATTAAAAATTTAAATTTAATTACATTTCTGTAATTCCGAAGTATGTATTTATCACTAATTATAAATTATTATTAGCATTTATTATAAATACATTATATTATAATCTTTTAAAATATATATTTTTTAACAAAAACTATATAATTTGGTCAAAATCCAATTAAATAAACTTATTTTCAAGTATTGTCGTAAGCATGCTTTCCTGAATATGTTTTAAAAGTGCAAGAAAGCAATGATTATAATATTTGCAAAAAATGGCGAATGCGCCGGGATATCTGTAATCTGAGTTGCATAGTATAGATATAAATAATAAACGTATGTCTCTGTTAAAAAGTAGAATGTACGTATGTCTGTGAATGGGTCATTTGAACAGTTGAAATTGAACTACTGTCAGAGAACATCAGTTTGAGGTTATGTGGTATTTGTATTTTTTTTTAAATTGTATTTAAAGAAAGTTAACATTGTTTTACTGGTTGTGTTCACATTTTATACATCAAAATTAAATGAGGTATATTTATGTTTACACCAAAAGTTAGGTTAGTGGTAATTTAGGAAGTTATTATTTTACTAGTTAAATCTTAAAGAACGCTTAAAGCACATAATATATATAATAAATACGTCCACGTACGCTTACATCGCCTAGGTTAAGCTTACATAAATTTCTGTGATTTGGCTTTATAAAAAGCAAAAAGTAACATAATATATAATATCTCTTAAACACAATGGAGAGAAACAATGTCAAAACAATTGGTATGTATACATACAACAGAAAACAAACAAAATGGTTAATTATAAGAACCATCTACATATTAGTATGTCTATGATAAAAACCTTTTGGCTATCGTGGTAGAAATACGACGTTGCCAATTTCTTGCTGTCATAAAATCTAAAATATCATCATTTTGTGTGTTTATTATTGTTAAATGTTTTTGTTTATACAATTTATTAAAAAATAAATCCGGCAATGACCCCACGCATGCGCCTCAATGCAATCTCCCGTGACTCTCACTTCCGTCCCACGAAAACGAAACAAGGTCATCCAAGTATACAAAGTATTTTCGCGCATGCTATGTGATTTTCCTGAATAATTTTTATGGAAAATTATTGATTTATTAAACAGGAAGGCATTTTATACATAAAAATTATACCAAAATAATCAAAAATTCCATGCATGTGGTTGAGAAAAAAAACAAAAGTTATGCAAAAGTATTTATTGACAATATTTCAAACATTCGACATATTAAAATAAGACATAAAGAAAATATAAAAAATAAAAGGTATTCTAAATTTTTAGTCCATCAAGTTAGTAAAAACTGACACAGATGTAACATGTAATAAATATTTACGTAAACAGAAATATTTTTTTCTGACTAAACAAACAAAAAAGCAAACAAAAATGATATGATAAGCATATGTTATGCTAATATATAACCAGCTAAATATAATATTACTGTAATACCACATTCCAATAGTGTTTCTGCATATGAATTATATTCACATTGTAGTAATGTGGATATATTTTTTATTTTATTCACTAAAAAAGTCTAAATTTGTGATTCTTCAGGTAAAAATATATCTATAATTTGCATAAAGGTTAAAGGATATTCAGATGAATTCTTATTTACAATGAAAAATGTAAATGAGGATAAATAAAGTAAAAGACAAAAAATATACATTAAGTGATACAAATAAAATATTTTACACTCTTATCTTTAAAATTATCACAAATGAACTGTGTATACATCTATATATAATACTAAAATACTTCTAGTCTGTCCGACAAACAAATTCAAGTTGCCGTCGTCGTCGATAAATTAAACTCGACCTTAATAAATTTTGACTAGCAATTTTTAGAGGACGTTATTAATTATAAACTTGAACACAATAGTTTTGTTCGCGGATACAGTTATCCGCGAACAACGGCTATAGCCTCTCCGCCAGTCAAAAGATATTAATTAAAGACGCGATTTTAACAATGATTCAACCAAACTGTTTTCGCCGGAGCAACTAACAAGCGTCGAGGCCGGAAGTGGAAGGCTGAGTGGAGTCGGGCGACACCGGACTGTTGGACCGGCTGTCCGCGTCGTAGGTGGTGTTTTGCGAGCAGGTGTTGCAGATGTAGTCCTCGTCCTCGTTAATGTCCTCGGCCGATAGACCGACGCAGTCCATGTGGAACCACTGTTCGCAACCGCCGTCGCACTGCACCCAATCGACGTTCTGGCCCAGCGGCTTCAGGCAGCCCAACGCGGCGCAACTCTCGACGTCGTCCTCCTCGTCGCTGCCGGTCGACTGGCGACGTCTGCCGCGGCGCTTCACGCCGCCGCCGCCGCCGCCTGCAGCGTCCTTCTTCTTCGGGTTCACGTTGCCCTCTTTCACTTTGCGGCCGCGCATCTTTTTCTCGCCGCCCTCCACTTTACTCTGCTTCACGGAACCTTTTTTGTCCGATGACCCGGCGTCTTCCGACAGACGTTTGCGGCCACGTTTCTTTGGCGTCGCCTTCAGTTGGGCCTATTACAAACAAAATACTTAACATTAACACTTTGTCCACTACGTGCAATGAAAATTAATTGTATCAAGCCTCATTCAGAATCTCGTAATTAGTGGAAAAAAATAGTGGTTTCAATTATACTTATAATTAACACAAAACGATCATTCACAATGCGCAAAATTAACATCTAAAATTAAGGTAATTTGCTAAAAGATTGCCCATTCTTCTTAACCTGACATAATAGTTATTTATGTCATTAGGTTAAGAAGTAAGGCTTTTTGTGTTAAGCGAAGCACAAAAAGGCACTTCTTGGCCGAATGGCATACAACATTTTATCTTCAAAGCACTTTATATAGGTCAATTTAATTCAATATCAAAGCGGCCTAACCTCACTTTTTTAGAATCTCATTTATTTATTAGCTTAAGATTACATTAAATGTACAATAATTATTATTGCTTTTAGAAACAGTAATAGTTTGACAATACCTAGCAACATGATTTGAGTAGAAATGGATTTTTGCTATTACATTGAATTCAATTAATTGTTTAATAGGTTTCAATTTGTTTGGATTTTTATTTTAAAAATAGATGGTTTGGAATGTTTAAGCTGTTTTTAACATTTCATTTCACTGAAAACTTAGCAAATTAAAACCTAAAGATAATTTAAATCGTAGAAAAAGAATCGTGCGTTTTTTTGGTTGCCTAACCTAACTTTTTGTTTTATTATTCATATTTAATTTTACAATAATTTAATGAAAAATATTAAACATTAACAGTAAAACAAACAAATTAGTGCTTAGTATAAATAAATTAAACCAGTTTAGTAAGTTAATTTCTTAGAGAAGAAAAGAATTTGTCAAAACAATACCCCTAGCGAGAAAAAATCGAACTAATTACTTGCCTCATACAAATTTTTATCGGCCTAGTTTAAATTATAGACCGCTTGAAGATTAACAATATGTTTTATATTAAAATAATATTTTTTACAACCATTACAATAATATTTATATAACCTTTACTTCACTGGCAAATTTTCAAACGTTTTGCTTTTGACATGCTCACAAGCGCAAAGCCGCTTTCCAATTATAATTAGTGGTAAAGTTTGCAAGCTTTTTTCACTAATTGAAAAGTACTACCACTAATTTTTTGGTTGTTAAGCCTCATTCAGAACCTCGTAATTAGTGGAAAAAATTAGTGGTTTCAATTATACTTATAATTAACACAAAACGATCATTCACAATGCGCAAAATTAAAATCTAAAATTAAGGGAATTTGCTAAACTGACATAGGTAAACAATATTAATTATATTAAAATAATATTTTTTACAACCATTACAATAATATTTATATAACCTTACCTTCACTTCAAACTTTTTTGCTTTTGACATAAAATATATAATTAGTGGTAAACGTTAGAAGTTTGGAAAGTTTTTCCACTAATTGAAAAGTACTACCACTAATTTTTTGGTTGTGAACAACACTGTGTATATTCATAAGACAAACTTTTACGTTAATTGAAACCACTAATTTATTCCACTAATTACGAGGTTCTGAATGAAGCTTTAAGCTTCGAAATTAGTGGAAAACTTTTTGCTTTTGACATAAAATATCCGCGCACATGCGCAAATCCGCTTTTCAATTATAATTAGTGGTAAAAGTTTGGAGTTTGCAAACTTTTTCCACTAATTGAAAAGTACTACCACTAATTTGTTGGTTGTGAACAACACTGTATATTCATAAGACAAACTTGTATGTTCATTGAAACCACTAATTACGAGGTTCTAAATGAGGCTTTAAAGCCTTAATTTTAAACAAAATTATTACAAATATTTTTTTCTATGACCACTATGTAAGTCACATTTTGTAATGGCATTGTTGCTTAGAAAATGAATCTTTTCAGTGGAAAGGCAAAACACAAATAAAAAGTGACATTTCTGTGTGAAAAGTGACAGGTCTGTGTGAAAAGAAATTGACATTCGTTTCAAAATTTGTATTGTATTTGTATATGTTTGTTTAAATATCATTTAGAACACAGTGTATGCATACTAAATTCTAATTTTTAGTGCCTTTATTTAAATTGAGAAGGTAAGTTTATTGATTTTAAGTAACTTATACCTTAAAAATTAAAAGAATAAGATGAAAGTAATTTTAACAGCTGTCAACCACGTTTTTAGGTTACCACTTAAACAAGGTGCACCAAGTATCCTTCTATGATGGGTATATTTTTTATTACTTTTATGAATTCCATTTTAATAAGCTTGTAATGGCGTCGAGACAAGTTTGTTATTAGGGGAAGGCGGTAGATTTTGACCATTTTTAGCGTCACAAAATTTAAGGATACTTGATGCACCCTGTATAAATACATGTGTTTTAAAATAATTGTAAGCTGCAATCAGGGTTGTATAATAAAGATATAAATAAAATAATAATTATCCTTAAGACTGGACCAATTGACTGAATTTAGTGTGGTTATATAACCTATGCACTTGAAGCTTTTTAGTTGGAACGGCGTATGTGCTTTTACCAAAATTGGTGGAGGCGCCATTTTTCTTTCCAATTATTTTGTCCTGACGATTTAAAAAATTTAGTTATTTCAAGAGTTACGCAATAAAATTTTATTTTTACAAAATATTTGTACAATAATTGTAAATTATTTAACGTTTTTGGAATAAGCATAATTTTATAAAAAAATTACGTAAAATTTTGGAGGCGTCATTTTTGCTTCCAACTTTTTTATTCTTACAAATTTTAAAAATCTAATAAGTTTTGCAATACAATTTTAAACAAATAATGTCCCATAAAAAAAACTTGTACAAAACAATTTTGTGAATTAGTTCCATTTTATAAAAAATGTATCTTGTATTTTTCTTGGTCAAAAATATTAATAACTAGATGACCCGGTGAGATTCGTTCCACCTAAATAAAATAAAATTAAATTGGTTGAGCCATTTCCGAGTTTAATGGTTATTAAATTTGAAGAGCAGCTACGAACGCCATCTATTCAAATTAATTCAAAGTTGTACGAATTTCGATTTTTTCGAATTTACGGCTGGTCCTTTTTTTTATTTTCCGGCTGTTCCTTTCGGTTTTTCCTAATGTATTTTTATTTAAATAACCCCTGTATTGAGGCGAACAAAACAAAAAAAATTATTTAAATCGGTTGAGCCATTTCAGTTTTTGCAGGAGTAACGCACGGCGATTCATTTTTATTTATATAAATAAAGATAATAGATAATATAAGAAATAATTAATAAAATAATTTTAAAAAATTACATGAAAATCAGGAATAAAAAAAATTACATTGGAGAATCCAGAGATTGGTGAATGTCGAGGTCATATTAGTTAGAGATTCAATTAAAATTATTATTACACATAATCAAAAAAACTTACATATTTATCTTTTCTTTTAACTTTTCTTCTGATAACATTTATGATATCCCCGCCAATTTTAATAATAATTACCATATCTTCCATTTTATCTCCTTTCAGGTTCATTTAATGGTTCTTTACTGTTTAATAGTTTGAATTGAATAAATAAATAAATGTTCAACCGGCACCTCTTATCAATAAGTATAAGCATTAAATTGAAATGAATCACATAAGAAATAAGTGAATTGCATAGGTAATTTAGATTAATTGAAAAAATATAATCAATATGAAATTTAGTCAGCAGTAAAATGATATTGGTAAACAAAAATATTGCTACTCACGTCGAAGTCAATAAGGATGTGATCCTTCTCTGGATCTCTGGAAGCTTGAATCAACTTCCACAGCGTGAAAGTTTCGTCGAGGAACACCTCCAACAAATCCCCCTCCATCAGGAGCTCCTCCACTTGCCTCTTCATATCTGGAGTCAAAGAAAGAACATACTCCTCTTGGTCCACTTTGGGTAGATGCAAGGAATACGCGTGCTCGCCCATTCGGTCTTCACCTTCTTTAACCGATTCCGAATCCGAATCGTTGACCGCCGTTGTTTCTTTGAACGCTGAGGCTTCCTGAACGCCCTCATCGTTGACGGCAAGACCGCTAAAAGGAGCGATCTCCTGTACTCTTTGGTGCAACTCCGGGTTTTTATACGCCCTCTTCAACTCCGTGGAAATGATCTTCTCGGTTCTCTGTCTGGCCGCAGCCTCGCTGTATTTCTGACTGAAAGAAGCCAGTTTGTTTTTGGCTTGCTCCAACTCCGACTGCGCCAGAAGCTGCCGCGCCCGGTCCTGCCAATTCATCGCTCTTTCCGTTAAACACTGCAAAGCTTCACCTTCCGGCACTCTAACATAAAGTTTTTGCAGCGACATCAAAAGCCCGAGGATGACGTCCAATCGAGGCCGTTTTGTTCGATAGCAATTCGGGCACATGTATTTGCAGTCTTTGAATCCCAAGTGCAACGCCACGCTGGTGAAGTTGCCCTTGTACTTGGCCATCGAGATTTTGGGCAGCTGCACGCAGCTGGAATGGAACCAATCTTTGCACAGCTCGCACTGCATCATCACGCCGTGAACGCTTCTATTGCAAATGCAGAAGGTGTTGCCTTCGGCGGGATCCAGACTTTTTTCACTGTTTGTCAGCCTTAATTTGCGGATCATTTCCATTTCCGTGTCTTCGGCTTCTTTGAATAAAGCCACCACGGTGGCGGGGTCCATGGAGTTGGTGAGGGAAATGCTGGATTCTTCGTCGTGATTTTGCGAGCGCTTACGCGCTTTTGTTGTACTTGGGGCTTGGATTCTCGGGGACAGTGCGTCCATTAGATTGCACGCGGAATTTTTGCGCAAAAACGCCCTGCTGGTCTTCTCCTTCCAATTGGTTGCCAACACCAAGTAGTCGTTCATTTTGTCGACCTCGACCAAGTGTAGAGTCAGCGATCGGCCTTTCTTAATCAAATCCTCCATTGCGTTGAAATAGGGGTAATATTCGGCCGAATTCATTTCCTCCAACAACCTCAACCAATCCCTGGCCTTTTTCATGGAATCGTACAAGTGCCCTTCAGAAGGTAAATAGCAGGTTATCTTCGACGCCTCCTTGAGAAGCTTATCGACTTGGATTAAAACATTATTATCCTCAGATTTTAATACTTGATCGGCCTTTTTCTCCCACTCCTCGCTCTGTTGCAAAATAAGCTGCAAATTCGCCAGCTCCTCCTCCATCTCGGAATTAGGGGGCAACTGAGTGCCCTGCTCGATCAAATTTTTAATGGAATCCAAGCCGAGCACTTCGGTCTTCTTTTTGTAAGTGACCACGTCTTTCAACCATTGCACTTGCTTCATTCTCGTGGCGACATTCTTTAGCTTCGGCAGCTCGATGCAAAGCCCATTGCCGTGATTGTTGCAAGCTTCGAGTTCCGTCAGATTGCACTGCGAGAGCGGCAGAGCCAGCAAACGGTTCGAGTCGGCTTCGAATTTCTTCGTTTCGTCCAACAGCTCGCGTATACTTTTAGCTTCTTCGAGAATACAAGCCAAACTGTCTATTTCCTCGCAGAAAAGCGTCAGCTCTTCAACAGTTAACTTGTACTTGGTGTCGGAGGAATTTCTCGTTCGTGTACGCATTTTGTTTAGATCGAGTTGGTGGATGACGCTTGCGCACTTCTCCGCATCCTCGACGGCGCTCGTGAGGGTATGAAGCAAATCGGACTTGGGGAATTTTTTGCCGTCAGCTTCACTAAGCAAATCCTTCAGGTCGTTCAAGTTCATCGTCTTCGGCGTTTTCGGGTCTAAAGCATCTTTTACTTTACTTACCCAGTGATCGAACGATTCGGCTTTTAGTTTCAACGCTTTCAACATCACGGGCAGCTCGTCCAATGTGTAACGGTAGCGTAACGTGCGCTTGCTTGCCGGGCATTCGCACAGGTTTTTGTAATGCCGAAGGCACACGAGAATGTCCGGAGAACACGAACAAGTCATCGCAGACAGGAAACAAGTCGTTTTGCACACGTCGCATTGCCTTTCGTCGTCCGGAAGTACCTCGAAAGCCTCTCTTTCCGCATTAGTCACACCCTGAAACACAAAAATTTAAAATAGAGAAACATTACCATAACTTAAATTATAATAAATTTCAACCGAGTTAAGAAGAATCGGGTAGATTCGGGCGTCATCGTGAGTGATTAGTAAAAGACAGTCGTTTACCTAATTTGACTGTTTGTTGGGTTGGTAAAAAATGAATCAATTAATTAGCACAGGCATAACTTTTTCTTCCAGCTTTTAAACACTAAAAATGTACTTAAATCATAAGTTTTGCTATAAAATTTTAAACAAAAAATATCTGATGACAAAAATTTATAAAGTAGAGTAGTAACGCCATCAACCTATCCAGCTTACAGGCAAAGCCTATAAGGTTCGGTTCTTCAGCGGCAAAAATTTATATAATTTACAGATTTTGAGATTTAATTTTATATTAAAAAATACGTCAAATTTTATTTGCTTTAATTTCCCCAATATTGGACCAATTTACTTCAAATGTAGTTATGCCCTTGAAACTTTTTCAGTAAAAAGGGCGTGTGCGATTTTACCAAAATTGGCGAAGGCACCATTCTTCCTTTCAACTTTTTTATTATCAAGAATTTTAGAAATGTAATTAATTATTTCATAAGGTTTGAGATAAGTTTATTTTTATAAAAAAAATCGTCAAATTTTGGAGGAGCCATTTTTGTTTCTAACTTTTTTATTCTAAAAAATTTACAAAATTATTTGCAATAAAATTATGAACAAAAAACGCTCGATAACAAAAATGTACAGTTTTTGAGGTAAATTTAATTTAATAAAAAAATTACGTACAATGTTTGTTTTTTGCTTTAATTTCCCCAACACTGGAATTTATTTCAAATTTAATGTGGTTGAATAACTTATCACCTTGAAACTTTTTTAAGAAAAAATGGCGAAGGCGTAATTGTTCCTTCAAACTCTTTTTTTCTTAATAATTTTAGAAATGTAATTATTTTATAGGATTTTAAATGCCTTATAACAAAATCTTGTACAATTTGGCGTTTTTGAGATACTCTTATTTGTATAAAAAAACGTAAAATTTTGGAGTAGTCATTTTTATTTCTAACTTTTTTATTCTTAAAAATTTACAAAAATATTTCATAAGTTTAATTTTTTAAAGAATTACGTATAATTTTTGTTTTTTGCTTTAATTTCTTCAACCCTGGAATTTACTTTAAATTTAATGTGGTTGCATAATTTATGCCTATAAAACTTTTTTCAGTAAAAATGGCGTGTGCACTTTTACCAAAATTGGCGAAGGCGTAATTCTAATAATATTTTAAACAAATATTTTAAAGACGTCAGTTTTGTTTCCAAATTTGTTTTGCAATAAAATTAAAAACAAAAAATGTCTGATAACAAAAATGTATACAGTTTACGGTTTTTGAGATAAGTTTAATTTTATTTAAAAAAATACGTAAAACATTTGTGTTTTACTTTAATTTTCCTAACACTAATTTACTAATTTACAGTAAAAATGGCGTGTGCCCTTTTATCAAAAATCTTTCTTAAAACTTTTTTATTTTTAAGAATTAAATAAATGTAATTATTTTGTAAGATGTGCAATAACATTTTTTTAATGCCCTATATCAAAAAGTTTAATTTTATTAAAAAATATGTCAAAATTTCCTTTTATTTATTTAATTTCCTTAATACTGAACCAATTCAATTCAATTCAATTCAATTCAAATTTGATGTAGTGATAATCCATACTCTTGAAACTTTTTTTAGTAAAAATGGCGTGTGCGCTTTCATCAAAATAGGTGAAGGAGCCAATTTTGTTTTTAACTTTTTTATTAGTAATTTTAAAATTATTTTCGTATTAGTTTTACAATACCAGGTAAAAAATGCCTTTTAACTAGGGTTTTAAAGTGTCGAAAAAAAAACGAAAAAATTGGGAAAAAGTTTTTTTTTTAATATACACATTTAAAAAAGGTAGCAATTAACAACTTAACATTATTTTAATTAAAAAAAATATCCTTTATTACAGAAAAAACTAAATATTGAGTTAAGTTAAATTGATTTAAGAAAATAAACATAATCGTTAAATATACCTACTGTCGGTTGAGTCTTTTTTGCAAAAATGAGTCCATTTAAAATATCCAATTACAAAATAATGTATGATTTAGATTAATACAGCACTAAATATGTTTTGTTGAGGCCCGGTAGAATATTCTTACTGAATTCAAATAAAAGGAATAATTATCAGTGGTGTGACATTTCATTTTGGTGAGGCAGAGGCAGGGTTTCGCCCTCATTTAAAGGAAAAGCAATTTTTTTAAACCCAACTTAAAAAAACTGACGTCGCAGTTCACAACCTATAAAACTAAGTAAAAAAAAGTCAACAATATTGGTACAATTTCTCACCGTAATATCCATAATGACTAAATTCACATAAATCACCAAGTTCAATTAACTAAACCCACAGAATAAACCACTTAAAAAAGAATCATAAAATAGACAAACTCATAGAAAAAGAATAAACAAAATATTGCGTAAATAACCAGATTTGTTCTTTAAACAGTTTAGAATTTTATAAACAAAACAAACCTAAAGAAGGAACCTGTATTTATTTTATTAGTTACTGTGATGGCTACAAGATGGCGATAGTGTTAAAATATGTTTATTTTAGAATAGAAATATAATTTCGATTAAATCGATTTATTATAAGAAAAATAATACCATTTATTATTGAATTTTGAAAAACGTGTGAAGTATAATTTATCTAAAATTCCGCAACAGTGTTGCCACAACACCTGCTTATTTCCTTGGATGTAGGCGTGCCTGCCTCGCGTATGCTAATACGAGAGAAGGTGACAACTATGATATCGCATTGTAATAGAACGAGACAACAAGGCTAACGCCAATCGTGAGTCTAAATTAGTTCAGGCATGCTTCTGAGCCAATCGTCTAGCTATAAATATTAGTTTAAATTGCGGTCGTTTCAAATTCAAATAATTTAAATGTTGCTGGGTATTCCACATATAAAATCAATCAATTTTATTGACTATTTCACAATTCATGTAATCCAAATATTAAAAATTTATAGTATATTATAGAAAGTAAAATATTTAAAGTATACTTAATTTTTTAATTCTCTATGATTAGGCACTGCCTCACCTGCCTCCCCTGACGGGCCGCCACTGATAATTATTAAAATAATAATATTATGATTATAATCAGCGTCGGAAATTAACTTTTTTCTAGATATCAGTGTACGGTTCTCGATATCTGTAAAAATTTGGAAATTGCATTTTGTTTGTATTACCCTTTGAATAAAATGAAAAAATGCAAGTCAATTTTTCTGAAAATTTCCCAATTTTTCCGGAAAAAACGTTTTTTCCCGAAATTTTTAAACTCTACTTTCAATCCAAGTCTACAATAAGAAAAACTCACCCAATCGAGCAGATTTTTCCTTAGTCGTTTTTCGGAATCGACCATGTGGAGCATATCCTGATAGGTGGCAGCAGCAATAGTTAGATCTAGCTTCTCAGTGTTCAGCGCCATCTTGCAGACGAGCTCGTCGTGAGAGAAAACGCAGAAACGTCTCAAGTGCGAATAGTGCAACACGCATTCGCGTCCCATTCTCAACCAATCGGCCGGCGCGAAATTAACCGCCTCGGCGAAGTTGTACCCTTGGTTGAATCCGGCGTGATAGGCTCGGGGAAAGGTGACGACAAACTCTCCGGCATGCTGATCGGTCCTGTAGACCGGCACGCCGGCTTTCATCAAGATGTTGGGGTTCATGATGGTGACCAGCTGATGCAGCAGATCCGGTTGCGACTGAAACAGCTCGGGCGCTGCGGATTTCATCGTTTCCTCGAACGCTTCCGCCTTGCTTCCGGGCACGCCGTACCAGGTTTTCGCTTCGCCCCAGTGCAAGTAGTTGATGGAGTAGCTCCAGTGGTCCTCGTTGTGCCAGCAGAATGTGGCGAAGCACATGCCAACGTACATCCATGGCACTAAAATAATAATTTCAAAAACAAATATAATAAAAAACCAACTTCAATGGACTTTATATTTGTTTATAATGCCAAAATTACTTAACCCTTTGTGGACTAGTGGTTTCATAAAAAAAACATTAATTTTGTCACCTAACATTTTAACATTTGAATCAATTCTTTAATATTAGAAATGGTAGGTAGATATAAATAAATACAATAAATATTTCCTTACTAGTTTAAATCTTTATCAGGCACAATATTATCAATAATTTTAAGTTAAAATATGAAATTTTAATGTTTTTAATAGTCCAATATTTGAAAGCAATAGTAAACAAATAAGTATCATGGGGTTATATGAGTAAAATATTGGGCGCGCGGAATTGTGCTCAGGCACCGCCTGCGCTTTCGTTCAATAGAAAAACTCGGCGTGCCAATAATGATATATTGTTAGGTATGATAGGCTTGTAAAGTTTTACGAAAGAAGCATATTCAAAAATAAAAAATCCAAATTATTTGACAGTTATAAAACCCTTTAAACGTATTTCAGTAAAAAGTTCATAAAATTATTTTTTTCGCACCTCTATTATGTACTTTTTAGGGCTGGCAAATATGATATTTATATAAATATTATACAAATACAGGGTGTCCCAAAAGTCAACAATATCCTTCAGAGGACTGATAGACCAACTCATGACTAAGCAGAAAATCAAAATATGACCTTAGTAAAAAATCGTTAGTTTTTGAGAGTCATTTTTATGAATTTTGTAAAATTTGGCACCTTAGATCACTTTTTCAAAATCTACTATTAATTTAATTTTGAATTGTAATTAATAGCAGTCCTATTAAGGGTTACGCAAAATAAAATATAATCTAAGAATATAGAATGTTGTAGTTGTGGCACTCAAAAACTGATTTTATGTGCCAAGTTTCAAAAAAATTCATAAAAATGCCAATATCTTAAAAACTAATGATTTTTTTACTAAGGTCATGTTTTGATATTCTGATTAGCATGAGCTGACCTGTTAGAATATCTATGAATTTTGGGACACCCTGTATATATAATTAAATTAAAATGAACCCTGTTTTTTATTTTTGGCATTGTAACATTTTGTTTTATAAAACAAACAGCAAAATATTGATCCGTTCAATCAGAAAAAATGCCTCGCTGCTCGCGGCAAATGCATCACCGCATCGTAAGTCAGGGTTCAAAAAAATAATGATTAAAAAAAATCAAAAATCAACGATTCTTATTGAAAAATCAAAATCAATAAAAAATAATTTGTTTGATTTTTTTTAAATTATAAGCTTTTTTAATAAAGTGTACTATTAAAAAAATACTAAAAATAACTTGACTATAATAATATTATATTGGCACTACTTTATCAACAAATAAACCACCGCCCGCAACTGTCATATATTTTTTGTATATTCCTTTATTATTTTATTTAACAAAATAAGCAGTTTTTCTATGCATATGAATTAATTTAAATTGTGTCAAGATATTATTGTGCTTTATTTTTAGATCTTTTAAGTTAAAACTGATTTAAATAATTGATTAAAATAAAAAAAATCACTTGAATTAATTCGGTGATTTAAATTAAAGCAGCAGAATAATACTGTTAAATTTTAGAAAAAATAGAATAGAATTTTAGAAGAAAAAAAATATTGATATAATCAGGATAAATATCGACGCATAAATATCATAATATTTATAAAGATATATATCAGGATATTTATCACTGATATATATCATGCCAGCCTTGGTACTTTTACTCGATTAAGGAATATTGAACATAACCTAGAAACAGATGTTGGATTTATTCGTAATTCTTGACACATCTGTTATAACATCGTGACGTCACTTATTAAAGCGATTTAAATCTTGCTGTTTTCAAACGCTCTAGCATTCTCAAAAATTGTTTGTGAAGCGTTGGGAAAAAAATTTAATAACAACTTGTATGAGTAGATTTGAAATATACAAAAAAATGAATGTCCCAACCCCATTTAATAGTTATAACTTATAAGACACGACGCGGCGTGGTAGTAGTCACTTTCATAGTTTAATATTGTTTCCAAATATTGGACATAACCTTACATTTTTGAGATAATTTTAATTTCATATTTTAATAGTATATATGTTGTAGTTTGAAGATGGTCAACAGAAACTAGTCGCAAAAAAAAATATTTAATATCTACCTACCACTTTGAATATTCACACCTTAACCATGAACAAATTATTACAATTTATTGTTTGCAAAATTCAGTAAACAATGGGTTAGGAATGTCAAGACATATTTAAGTCTTAGTAAGAATACCAAAAACAATTTAGAAAGCAAAACATTTTAGATTGTTTAGAATGCCAAGACTTATAAAGGGTGTCCCAAAAGTCGCGCATTATTTCAAAAATTGTTAAAAAAATTCTACCTTCATTATTTAAAAAGAATAGGTATACCTTGTTTATATTGTTTAAGTTTTAATAGGTTTATTGAGATTTAAATAACATTATAAATACATATTAATTCATGGTTTTATTAGTCTCTGTAATTGCTTGTTTGTTGTGATGATTAAGAATAAAGCAACCATGGTGCACTTTATTATTAGGCAATGTTGCCATTTAAGCAAATATGTATCCCCTGTATCTCTTTAAATAATAAAGGTTGCATTTTTTAACAATTTTCTTGGGTTTCTTTTAAAACACTATGCATTTAAGAATGCCAAACTTAAGAATATCAAGACATACTTAAAAATGTCAACAACACGTTTTAAATGGTCAAAAATTACTCACTTAAAAATTTCCGGACATATTTAAGAATGTAAAGACATATTTAAAAATGACAAAGACATTTTAGATTGTCAATACTTTAAAACCGTCATAATTATGTTTAGGAATTGCAAACCTACTTCAAAATTAATTAAGAATATCAAAAAACATTTATTATGATTATATTTAAACATTATAAACTTAAAGAATGTCACGACATTTAAGAATTTCAAAACAACATTTAAGATTTATACTTAATAATGCCAAACTTACCTACTTAAGAATGTCAAGACATATTTAAGAATGCCAAAAAAAACAATTTAGAAGTAAACCATTTTAGATTGTCGAGACTTGAAGAATGTCATAATTATTTTTAAGAGTGCTAAGTCTTAAGACTATCAATTATATTCAAGAATAATTTACTTAAGAATGTCGAGAAACCAATTTCAAAAATGTCAAAACACGTTTTAGATTGTCATATTTAAAAATGTCAATACACAAGAATAGCAAAACAGATTTAAGATTGTCTGGAATGAATAAATTTCTTGAGAATTTAAAAATGTCAAAACAAATAAAAGAATGCCAAAACTATCTAATATTGTGCAGTAAAAAAAATTGACAATTTCCTTACCTTTCATGCCAGATATGTCAGCGTTAATGTAGCCGAGGACACTGCCCTCCAAGACCGGAAGATTGTTCAAATTCCAGCTGGAATCGGCGTACTCTTTGTCGCCCGGAAACAAATTCATGGAAGTTTTCGTCGGAAATCCGGAACCGTGGTCCATAGTGTGCAAATCTGCCCCGTACTCGACTGTCACGTCTTCGTCGATCGAAGAGACGATCCTCCAAAATTCCCTCTCGACAGTGCTAGTGGGTACCATCTGAAAAAAATTTGGAGAAATAAAACGTGCAAATGCCCGAAAAATTTCAACACTTACGTGCACAGGCATGTTGAAGTATTCGGATTTAAACTGATCGGCCATCTCTCCGAATTGCTGCAATGTGTACTCTCTTTGGGCTTGCTCGAACCCAAAAGCCTCCATGGGTTTCGACACCTCCTCTGCAACGCATTTCGGGCATCTCCAATCGCCTTTCGGGATTTCAGTTAGTGGAGGCATCAAGCAAAAAGTATGATAGCTGTCGTCGCAACCATCACATAACAACATATACTCCTCGGCATCTCCCTTGTTGCAATTGTGACACACATACTTGGCCAGCTGTTGCAAAAGCACCAACGTCAAATAAACATTGCAAAATCCATACAAACAAAATTCTACTCACATAAGACGTACTTACCGGGTCAAAATCAAAGTTGAGGTTCTTGCCTCTGTGCTTTCCCTCTCTTTTATCTTGATAACCCGCCATTTTTGGTCCGGCCCCGTAGAATTGCAGGCGTTTTAGTTCCTTATTGTCTAAATCGTCGTCGTCACACTTTTCATCCTTAATCTTAAGCGCTAAATTCTGGACAAAAATAATCAGTATATGAGAACATTACACCGCTTTAAAAACAAAACGTAAACAATAGTTTTGCGCAATGTTGATACTTCTCTTAACATATGGCACTCTTTACTCTTAGTATTATTCTACTGCTTTTTTAAAAACTCGCATATAAAATTAATTTCCCAATATTGTTAAAAAATTTATTTTAAAATACTTGTAAAGTTTGCCTTTGTTTGACAATCCTCTCAACAGATGTCACTATTATTCTTTTTCTGATTAATTGAGGTTAAAATGTGAAATGTCATAATAATTATAATGTTTAGAAAGAGTACACATTATGATATACATATATTTAAATATTTAGTTTTGTGACATTTTTTTATCTAAATTGTCTTTTATAGTGCACCGAAATGATTAAGTTATCTTAATTGATTCTATATATTAAAACTTCTTTAGCAAAAAACATGCCAGGAAAATTTAATATGAAATGCTTTTAAACGCCCGTTAGTTCAGGAGAGCATGAAGGCGCAGAGGTTACGTGATCCTTTTCTTAACAGATGGCACTATTCCTCTTTACTCTTATTATTATTCTACTTTTTTTATAAAGACTCGCATATTATAAAATTAAATTCCCAATATTGTTAAACATTTTATTTTAAAATACTTGTCATTATTCTACTGTTTTTATAAAGACTCGCATATTATAAAATTAAATTCCCAATATTGTTAAACATTTTATTTTAAAATACTTGTCAAGTTCGCTCTTTTTCTGATTAATTGAGGTTAAAATGTGAAATGTCAAAGGTAAAAAATGTCATAATAATTATTATGTTTAGAAAGAGTACAGATTAAGATATACATATATATAAATATTTAGTTTTGTGACAATTTTTCATGTAAATTGTCTTTTATAGAGCACAGAAATCATTAAGTTATCTTAATTGATTTTTATATCCCTTGAATACCAAGTAAATTGTATCTTTAGCAAAAAATATGCCAGAAAAATATATATAATGTAAAACACCCATAAGTATCAGGAGAGCATGAAGGCGCAGAGGTTACGTGATTTTTGACGAGTATAAAACGATAAACTAGGTGAAATTTTTCAAAAATTTTAAAAGTTTTTTTACTTACATCAGTCTTGCTATCATCATTTTCGAAACGTTTCGATCTCCTTGCATTTTTTTCTGGAGGGGGTTTGATGGCCATTCTTCCTACAATCCCATGTGGTTTGTAGTCCTTGTCAGCTTTCTCCACCTCCTCCGTATTTTCTTCAAGTTTCTACAAAGAAAAAAAACAAAAATAAATCAAATGTTTTTTTTTGTAATAAAAATACTTACAATATTTACGGTTTTTCCTTGCTTGAAAACATCAAAGGGGTACAACAATCTTTCATAGTGTGTTTTAAGAATAGTACCGATACTTTTACCTGGGGGATAACCCATACGGATGGATATTTTCGACCATTTTCTTTCTTTGGAAGCACAATCAAAACCACCTAAACAAAAGTAATTTGGTATATTACATGTAAGTTAAATCATTTTCTTAATAATTATAATGTTTAGGTTTTATTATATACCTTCTAATTGCACAATTCTGTGTAAAGTGTATAGATCCAAAGCTCTTTTTTCTACCATAGGAATCTTTAGGGAGGAACCTTGCAATTCCCAGAATTTTGCGATTTGGTCCAAAAAATTAAGTTTTACCCTTGTTTTGGCCTAAAACCAACACTGTGTAAAAATCAAAATTATTATTTTTTAATGGCAATTAAACTTACCTCCAATTCGTTAAGTCTCTGTATTCTGGGGGTAAATCTCAATTTATCCACATCGACTGCAAATGGGGGTTGCCAATTCTAGAAAAAAATTAATCATAATTTTCTGGCTTATTCACATTCAAATAATGAAATTTGTTATCAGTGATTATTCATTATTGGAAAATTTTCAAATTAAGCAAATAAAATATTAATAGGTTTTCTCTGATTGTTTGATTTTAATAACCACCTACCTTGAAATATAGTTATTAATAAAATTATTATTATGTTTAAATAAAATGCATAATATTAAGGTTCACTGACAATGGAAATGTAAATGTATTTGTATACAGGGTGATTTTCAAATATTTAGAAGCATATAACAAAAAAATAAGATACACGATAACTCAACTACCAATCTTATCATATTTATTAATATTACATTATTTTATTGGAGAAACAATGTTAAACATTTTATCAAAGAATATTGTGGAGATTGAACACCCTATTGTAAACCTAAAAAGTTAAGAAGACGTTCAGACATTTTAAAGACTAAAAATTAACAGACAATGGCCTAAAATTGTCTCTTTATTTAAAATTCACTCATGTAAAACATTTTTTTGTGAAAAAGTCCCAAAGAACTTTTTAAACACCCTGTAGATGTATGATTAATAAAAATCAACTTGTATATGCTACATGAAAGACAACAAATATAATTTGTTGCTAAATACTTAAAATCAATATATTAGGGTAAATTTTATGGCATTTCAATAAATAATTGAATTTTTAACTTAAATGTATTGAATCCATTAATTGATATTTTTCATCATTTCAGTAATTAAAAATCGTCGTGCGTAATTTCAGCTACAAATATTATTATAAAAGTAAAATAAAATGGCAGCCAAGTGCTGGTTTTATTATTAAGTAAATAAAAATATGGAGCAATTCTCCATTGAGTAATTGAAGTTGAGTAGATTAATTAACTAGGCTGTCATTAAAATGAGGAAAAAGGGTTTTTCAGTTGTTCAATCTTATATAATTTAAAATAATAAATTCAGCTAACTTGGGTGGTAAAGATAGATCCATTAATAGATGATAAAATGTTGCAAGTTACAAAAGAAATATGTCGGTATTTACAGGCACAATATTTACATGAAAAACGTAGTTAAACAACGTTAAAACTTACCGAAGGTGGTTTAATTTTGCATATTCCTGTGCATTCTGCTGTTGGTCGAATTTTGCTAATATAAGCCAGGGGATCTTGGAATTCCTCCTCGGTGGGGTAAAAAACTGGGGCTTCTGGAGGAATTTCGAACTCCGAACATTCCTCCTTGTATTGAAAGTTGTTACATTTTATTGGAGAACCTTTAGAGCCACTAGGATTGCTCTTAATAGAACCATTGCTTTGTTTTTCTAGCCTTGTTGTCATTTTGCTATTTAGTCTATAGCATAATTACACGAATTTCGGCGTTTTACCATGTGAAACTACTGTTTTTTAACACCGAACCGATCACATCATACAATTGTCACGAAAATGACAACATAAGTCACACAATACACTCTGGATCGGTCGGAAATGTTAAATTACACCAAAAAACTGCATCGGTCTATCAAACTTCTCGCGATTGTTTGCAAGGGTTGGCGAACTTAACCACTTTCGGCCGATATTAGATAACTAACGCAAAAAAAAACGAACAAATAACTATTTTTTCGTGAAACTAGGTAGATGGTAGGTATACACTTGCACAAACGTTTCCACCATGTATTCCCCCTCCACTCTCATCGATTGCTGTGATTAGTGGTAAAACAAAGATGGCACATACGGTAAGTGTTGCCAGATCTACTGTTTTGCTTCAGTATTCAGGTACTTTTCTTCATACCAAACATTTTCTTAAATAAATGATAATATTTTTTCAATTTAAAAGTAAAAATTAAACTTAAACTTGATAGAAATCATATTATGACCTGTGCATAGGTTGATTATGTAAACCAATACATTTGTATAAACTTTATCTACCGTAAAACTAATCTGGCAACGGTGGTGTGCAGGAAAGAAGTCATATACGGTATACCTTTATACCGACATACCTTTCATTTATTTTTTTTTAAACCGAATTACAACTAATTATAACAATTTTACCATTTAACCTTTTCGCCCTTTTCTTTCTGCAACTGTCAAACGTTGTCAATTTTCACCGCACAATTACAATTTTTGAGGTTGTAAATCTTTGCTAAAGATTTAAACTACGTGATGTACACAAAACCAGCCAACTTGTCCATTTTACTATACCGGAAGTTACCTTCACTATTTCATTGGTCATTTGTAATTAGTTTATTAACTATTCCGATTGAAATAAATGCACCAATCACCTCACGATATAACACGCGCGAGATTTAAAACACACGCACACCATTTGTATTATTTTTAATGCACATAAACCAAGTAAACAATTCTTATAACAAAGTATGTGCAATGTTTTAATTTTTCGTAATTTATTTTTATTATTAAACTCGAAATTTATTATTATCTGTAGGTGGGGTTCTGTCATCGGCATATTGTATTTGCAGCCAACTTCACGTTTGTATTGTTGTCATGTAGTTAATAACAAAACTAATTTAAAAGCGCTATTATGTTATAAAAATAAGAAAACCCGGTATTAAAACGATAAGTAAAATTATTTATCATCGAAAAATCAGTCTTAACAATAAAATGATGTGTTTTTAAAGTAAGAAATTTGTATTTAAAGTGACGTTTGACAAGTGCCAGCTCACCTTAGTAAATATTGTTGTTACGTGGTTTTGAATTAATAAAATATCAACTAATATGGCTTATGAGGGTATAAACGCACAAATTGAATTGTCGCCGGCTTTTATAGCAAGCCTTCAAAATGATTTTAAGTCATTGTCAGCCGAGTCGAAAAAGAAATATCCACAAGTTAAAGAAGTAAGTAAATTACACGTTTTTAGGGGTTGGTTTAAGTTTGAGTGCTTTTAGGCGTGTGAAGAAGCTATAGGGAAGCTAAAAAATGACGTATCAACGCCACAAATATCTATTTATTCCCTCGTTAACCAAATTATATACCCTTTATCCCAAGGTTGTGAAACTAAAGATGTGAAGATTATAAAAGTATGTAGTAATATATTCTTTAAAATAATACATAATTTAAAATGCGTTACTTTAAGCTATGCTTGCAAATAATGCAGAAACTTATAACCCACCAACTAATAGACCAAAAAGGTGCAATGTATATAACAAATACTTTATGGACTCTAATGGAGTCTGGTATAGAAGAGGTTAAAATTCTGCAGTCGGTTACTCTATTGTTGACTACAAACACTATTGTACATGGAGATACATTAGCAAAAGTATGTAAAAATCTTAAAGAATATACCTAACACATTTAAACAATTGATTTTTTAGACTTTAGTATTATGTTTTCGTCTTCACTTTGCCAAGAATTCTACTACTATTAATACAGCTGGGGCCACAGTTAGACAGTTGGTTTCACTGGTTTTTGAAAGGGTTGTAGTGGAAGATGAAAGAATATCTGGGGAAAATATTGCTACCAGTGTACCTCGGGAATTTAATGTTGAGGAATTTAAGATTGCCACAGGAACACCTCCAAAAGGTAAAAAAGTTCCATTTAATAAGCATAATCCCAGATAACATTTGTCATTTTAACTGCATAGTACCCCGCGCGTTTTTTTACATTGAGGGTTGGGTTGGTCCTTAATTGACTTACAATATAAGGCTTGTTCCTACCAAGGCTTTGGACTGATAAATAGACATACACACTAGACTGGGCCAAAAAAATCCAATATTTTTTTTTTGTAAAGTATGTTAAAAATATTGTTTGGGGTGTCAAAAAAAAATTATTGTGAATGTTTGAGTCCTTAATATTAATATTAAGAGGTCTATCATCGTAATTTTATATTTTTTTTTCCTGAGCGAGTTTTTGTCTCAGATCCCCCAAACCATTGACTTTAACAAAATTGACTTGAAAATATTTTTGAGGAAAATTGAATGCTCTACAAAAAAGTCTCTTAAAATTTTTGGCTAACTTCACTCCATCAAGAGTTATTCAAGGTTAAAGTTGAAGTCAAAACGAAATTCTTGTTTTTTCCGCTGTAGAAAACTTGAATTCTTTTATCGATGATAATTTTTATTTTATTGATAAAATTACTGAAAATTAAAAAAAAAATATAACACTTACCAATTTGTTCGCTTTAAGAAGCTATTCTTTAGAAAATATCATTTTTACTGTTATTTAACCATTTAAATAATGTTGTTTTTTTATTGGAAATTGTTTATAAGTTAAATAATACACAATTAAAAAGAAAAAAATCAAATTATTTGAGTATAAAAAAATAAATCTACAGAGGAAAAACAAGAATTTCGTTTTGACTTCAACTTTACCCTTGAATAACTTTTGATTGAGTGAATTTAGCCAAAAATGTTAAGAGACTTTTTTTGTAGAGCATTTGATTTCCCAAAATAATTTTATCGTTTTTTTTCCGGGTACTGATTTTTAGATGAATTCCAAAATTCCAAAGTTATAAAATCAAATTGTAAAACTAAAACCAATTTTGAAAACATGGTTTCATTTAGACTTTTTTGTAGAGCATTCAATTTCCTTAAAAAAATATCTCCGAGGCAATTTTGTTAAACTCAATGGTTTAGGAGTTCTGAGAAAAAAACTCGCTCAGGAAAAAAAAAAAAAATGCGATGATAGACCTTTTAATATTAATATTATGGACTCAAACTTGTACAATATTTTCGATATACTTTATAAAAAAAAATAGTCGATTTTTTTCTACATTCCAAATGTTCGGTAGGAAGTTCCTACTAGGAACAAACCTATATGTAATGAACAAACCTATATGTAAATTTCCAAATGCTATCTGGGATGGTAACAAAAAAATGTTGTTAGGTTTGCCACCATGTGCACAAGACGCATTTCTGTTATTCCAAGATTTGGTGCAATTGGTGAATGCAGACCAACCCCATTGGTTGATTGGTATGACGGAAATGACGCGGACGTTTGGTCTGGAACTGCTCGAGTCCGTTTTGACTCAATTCAATTATGTTTTCTTTAAGGTATAGCATTTTATATGATAATGCGTCATCAACTTAATTTGTAACATTTTAGAATCCAGAATTCAGCTGGTTGTTGAAAGAAAAAGTTTGTCCCTTAGTTATAAAACTATTCTCTCCAAATATAAAATATAGAAGCAACGTTCCTACAAACATCCAACAGACTGCGCCTTTCGAAAAACCGTATTTTCCTATTAGCATGCGGTTGCTAAGAGTTGTATCCATATTGGTGCAAAAATATCACAGCCTTTTGGTGACTGAGTGCGAAATATTTTTGTCTCTAATCGTTAAGTTCCTTGATCCCGACAAACCGGCCTGGCAAAGATCCTTGGCACTTGAAGTTTTGCATAAAATGACAATACAACCAGCGTTGTTGCTTAGTTTTTGTCAGTGCTACGATTTAAAGAAACACACAACGAGCATTTTTCAAGATATTGTCAATTCCCTGGGTGCTTATGTACAGTCTTTGTTTGTTACACCACAGCAGCTGAATAACTCAAGTAAGCACACACACCCAGAAAATAAGCAGTCTTTTAATTCAAATACTGTTTTAGTTTCGATAAATCAGCCCCAACAGCAGGTTTACTTGGGTGGTTTACCTACAGGACCAGGAGTGTCACCTCCACCAGGCTTTTCTTTAAGAGGTGTATGGTTACCAATTGTTGTGACATTTCCTACAGGGCAATGTAAAGCTAATTTGTTAGTATAATTTGCATAATATATGGGCTATTCTACCATAACTTTTTTAAATTTTTAGCTTGGAAATGCTAGACAAAATAGATCCAGCTACTGTCCCCGAAGGTTACGGTATTTCTGTAGCGTACGCTTGTCTTTTGGAAATAATACGCTCTCTGCAAATTATTTTGGGCCCCCAGACTGAGGAGGAACCCTTATTTTTCGAAGAACCCTCCAAGCCGCTTAAAAGTCAACTGATCAATTCGAGTTGGTGTGGACTTTTGGCCGCCTTAAGTCCACTTGTGGACGCTAGTACCGACGAATCTACAACTGAGACTGTTTTGAAGTCCATACAGACGTACATATCGTTATGTGGCGAGTTAGACTTGCAAACGCCCAGAGATGCTTTTATCACAGCAATATGTAAATCTTCTTTGCCGCCACATTATGCTTTGACTGTGTTGAATACAGTCACTTCAGGGGTTAATTTACGGCAAAGTCATCATAGAGACAGTCAGGACTTGAGTTCTCTTATGGGGCAGTATGGCGAGGGTGATTTCAGACAGCAGGTGGTAGCAGTCGGAACACCTTTACCGACTTCGTCTATACCTGCTGGTACCCAGCAAGGCCCTGTGATGTTGACTAATAAAAACTTACAATCCATGAGAGCGTTGCTTAGTCTTGCGCACTGCCATGGGAGTATATTGGGGACTTCATGGCATTTAGTGTTGACGACGTTGCAACATTTGGTATGGATATTGGGGTTAAAACCTTCCACAGGGGGTAGCTTGAAGGCTGGCCGTACGGAGCAAAACGCCGGCATACAAACCTCAGTAATGGCTGATTTACCAGTGCTATCAACCATGCTGTCCAGATTATTCGAATCCAGTCAATACCTCGACGACGTGGCCCTGCACCATCTCATCAACGCCCTCTGTAAATTATCGCAAGAAGCAATGGAACTTGCTTACTCTAACCGCGAGCCGTCACTGTTCGCTGTGGCCAAGTTGCTTGAAACCGGCATTGTCAACATGTCGCGCATCGAAGTATTGTGGAGACCATTAACGAATCATCTTCTCGAAGTTTGCCATCATCCACACATCAGAATGAGAGAGTGGGGCGTCGAAGCAATAACTTACCTGGTTAAGGCTGCTCTGCACTATAAACACGCCACTCCGTTAAGGGAGAACCAGAAGTTGCAAACGTTATTGCTCGGCCCTCTGTATGAATTATCATCGGTCCCGCATGGAGATGTGCGATTGAGACAGCTCGAGTGCGTTCTCAACATATTGCATAGCGCTGGAGAAACCTTATCACATGGCTGGCCCTTGATTTTAGGCATAACAGGCGCCGTTAATGATCAACACGGGTAAGTCGACACATATTTAGTTTAATTTGACACTATTGACCTTTTTTTTTCAGTGAAAGTTTGATACGTACAGCCTTCCAATGCCTCCAATTGATAATCACGGATTTCCTGCCGGTGATGCCATGTCGCTGCTTACCGCAATGCGTGGACACTGTTGCGAAATTTGGAGCCCAAACGGAAGAACTAAACATATCGCTGACAGCGGTGGGCCTAATGTGGAACATTGCGGATTATTTCCATCAAAATCAAGGCAAATTGAGCTTGAATTTAACGGATGAAAATACAGTATTGCCGGATTTCCCCGGTACATTGAATATGTCCAGCTTTGATAAGCTGTGGATGTGTTTGTACGCTAGGTTAGGTGAGCTTTGTGTGGATAGTAGACCGGCTGTGAGAAAATCTGCGGGGCAAACTTTATTTGCAACTATATCGGCGCATGGTAGTCTCTTGAGGCAGTCGACGTGGCAAGCCATATTGTGGCAAGTATTGTTTCCCTTGTTGGATAAAGTCCGAAACTTATCAAGCTCTGCCAGCACGGATAAAGTGGATTCTGATGGTGTTATAATGATACACCATACACGAAACACTGCGCAGAAGCAGTGGGCCGAAACGCAAGTCCTCACCTTATCCGGCGTTGCCAAAGTGTTCAACACAAAGCGACAACTACTGCAAGCCTTGGGCGATTTCCCTCGCGCTTGGTCGATTCTACTGGAGTTCATAGAAAACGCAGCGCTGAGCAAAAACAACGAAGTTTCCATAGCCGCCCTGAAGGCATTTCAAGAAATTTTGTTTCAAAAAAAATCCAGCAATCCAGACCAAAAACCAGTATTAGCCGACGACAGGGAGATATGGTCGGTAGCGTGGAAGGTGTGGGTGAAAATCGGCACTAACATCACCGTACCTGACCACGAAATAACAGAAGACTACTACATCCCCAGCCAAACCTACTTAATTTCGCTGGTGCAGATATTCCCGAACATTTTCCTGCACACAAAAAGCAATTTCACCTTGGAAGACTTAAAGCAGTTAGGGACCGTTCTAACAAACGTCGTTAGCGTGCCTGTATACGGCGAAACAACCACTTATATCATATCAAATTCATCCGCAGATTACACTTTAACCCCACTGCATAGCGGCGTACTGCACACAATGGAGCTCCTGCAAAAAGAAGTCATGTCCAGAAACTCCCACAAAATGTTGCCGGAAATCTTCAAACGTCTCCTCACCTTCGCCAAATTCACTTGCACGCCTCCACCGCACACAAAGCTGGAAAATAACAAATCCAAAGTATCCGACTGGATCACCATGAATTATGTTCCATTCGGAGAAAAAGCCATCACGATGGCTGTCAAGCTGTACGAAAAAACAGCAGATAACCCCGAGGTAGTCGGCGCGAATATTTTACACGACATTATTGCAACTTTGCACACTCCCCTGGCATTGAAATACGGCTGCATTTCCAGCAGTGTTTGGAAGTTGGCCGCAAGCAGCCTTCTCACCGTCCTAAGAATCGGTTTAAAAGTCGCCAGAACGCAGGGCAACCAGTTTTTCTCCATGTGGAACGAACTGGCGGTTACACTCAACGATTTTCTCTTTCCCAACGCGTAAGTACACCTACGCAACAAATCAAAAAAACACTTAATTATAATAACTGTTTAGGTGTCCTCCTTCTGACAAAGGTTTAGACGAAATGGTTTTAGACGAGACCACGGACTGCCAGATAATAGAGCTGCTGAAAACCGAGGTTCTGCCGCACTCGAGCTGTATACCAAAAGAGTTTATAATGCAAGTAGTCATACTACTCAATAAAGGCTCAATACATTCCGCAACAAACGTGAAAACCGATTGTGATATGGAGATGACTCTGCGCGAGGAGTTCGCCAAAACTTGCTTCGAAACGTTATTGCAGTTTTCCCTTATTGACGGCTACAGTAAGGAGCTAATGGCGAGCGGGGATGAGAAAAATAATATCGCCGGACAACTGGCTGTCACCTCGTTGTTGCACAGATTTCAGGAAGTGTTGAAGAAGTATATTGAAGATGAGAAACTTAGCGGCAAATGTCCACTTCCAAGGTATATATTGACGATTTTTTTTTAAGTATATCGAAAATATTGTTTGGGGTGAGAAAAAAAATTATGGTGAAAGTTTTAGTCCATAATATTAATGTTAAGAGGTCTATCATCGCAATTTTAGTTTTTGTCTCAGAACTCCCAAACCATTGAGTTTAACAAAATTGACTTAAGAATATTTTTTGAAGAAAATTTAATATTTTCTACAAAAAAAGTCTAAATGAAATTTTCCGTCAGATGAACCGTTTCCTTAAAATCATGCCTTCAAAATTGGTTTTAGTTTTACAATTTGATCTTTTAACTTTGGAATTTTGTAATTCATGTAAAAATCAGTACCAGGAAAAAAAACGAGAAATATTCTTATGGGAAATCAAATGCTCTACAAAAAAAGCTTAACATTTTTGGCTAAATTCACTCCATCAAAAGTTATTCAAGGTTAAATTTGAAGTCGAAACGAAATTCTTGTTTTTTCCGCTCTAGATTTTTTTTGGGTCGGTTAAAAACTTGAATTCTTTTATCGATGATAATCTCTATGTTATTGATAAAATTAAGTACTGAAAATTAAAAAAAATAACACATTAGAGTTTTTTCGCTTTAAGAAGCTATTTTCTTTGGAAAATATTATATTATATATAGCCTTGTTGTCTCGTTCTATTACAATGCGATATCATAGTTGTCTCCTTCTCTCGTATTAGCATACGCGAGGCAGGCACGCCTACATCCATGGAAATAAGCAGGTGTTGTGGCAACACTGTTGCGGAATTTTAGATAAATTATACTTCACACGTTTTTCAAAATTCAATAATAAATGGTATTATTTTTCTTATAATAAATCGATTTAATCGAAATTATATTTCTATTCTAAAATAAACATATTTTAACACTATCGCCATCTTGTAGCCATCACAGTAACCAATAAAATAAATACAGATTTCTTCTTTAGGTTTGTTTTGGTTATAAAATTCTGAACTGTTTAAAGAACAAATCTGTGGTTATTTACGCAATATTTTGTTTATTCTTTTTCTATTAGTTTGTCTATTTAATGATTCTTTTGTAAGTGGTTTATTCTGTGGGTTTAGTTAATTGAACTTGGTGATTTATGTGAATTTAGTCATTATGGATATTACGGTGAGAAATTTTAACGATATTGTTGATGGTGTACTATTATCAGTGTTGTAACGTATCTAGTTACAAGTAACTAGATACAGTATCTAGATACTTTTTATGTATCTGTTTGTGTAACTAGTTACTTATCCCAATCTGGTAACTATAACTGTAACTAGTTACAAATTTTAAGTAACTAGGTGTGTTAAGATACAAAGATACATTTTTAATTAAACTGCGACTATTATTTATTGAGCCAAGGAAAACACGCCCACTTCTACTTCTGATACAATTTTTAATTTCTGAACGCATCCAACAGTATTTTCATATAATATATGGTCATACTGATATTATTATTATTATTGTTTTTTAACGAATTTACTTCCGTTGAGTAAAGAAATATACTAAACTATAGTTAGGTATAAAATGTTTTAAAAACCGTGGTAGATACAGTTTTCTGTAATCTGCACTTTTGACAGTTAAAGTTTGTTTACAATTTAAATTTAAAGAATCGTGTTACAAAAATGAGTAGGTATTATATGTATAAAAAATAAGTACTTGTATTAAAAATAAATTAATAATAATAAAAATTAAATATTATAAAAAAATAAAAATAATAAACATGTATATTTTTGTTGTCACTTTAAAATTCCCTTTTATTTCTATTTTAAATTTTTTAAAGCAAAAAATAATTTCTATGTATCTTAAAGTATCTAGATACTTTTTGAAGGTAACTGTATCTGTAACTAGTTACTGCAATAAAATATGTATCTGTAACTGTATCTAGTTACAAATTTTAGTAAGTAACTGTAACTGTAGCTAGATACTGAAAATATTGTAACTGTTACAACACTGACTATTATTATAATAATGCTGCACTTTACCTCCACACCTTTACGTGGTTCTTGCTGAACAATGAAATATTAATTAGACAAAAATGAGGTTTATTTAAAATAAACGTCATTTTTACAATAAAATATATTTCATTGACAAAGTAGAGGATTCCTTCCCCACCACAGTCTAAGGTTTTTACTTAGTTTTAAGTATATGTTGTGAACTGCGACGTCAGTTTTTTTAAGTTGTGTTTAAAAAAATTTCTTCGCCTTTAAATGAGGGCGAAACCCTGCCTCTGCCTCACCAAAATGAAATGTCCCGGGCCGCCACTGCTACAGAGAAAAAAACTAGAATTTCGTTTTGACTTCAACTTTAACCTTGAATAACTTTTGATTGAGTGAAAGATCAAAATGTAAAACTATACAATGATTTATGATTTTAATTATACGGTTCATCTGACAGAAAATTTCATTTTAACCTCTTTTGTAGAGCATTTAATTATCTTAAAAAAATCAATTTTGTTAAACTGAATAGTTTGGGAGTTCTGAGACAAAACTGTACTGGAAAAAAACCTCTTAATATTAATATTACGGACTTTCACAATATTTTTTTTTGTCACCTTAAACCATATTTTCGATATATTTAAAAAAAAAATTGCTGATTTTTTTGTCCCAGTCTATTGTGCATATAAGAACATTTCTAATTTTCCAATTTTAGGTATCGTTTACATGAAATATCTTTCGTCTTAAAAGCGCTTACAACTTTAATTATATCAATGAAAAAGGCTAATACTGTTAAAGGTAACTTTAAAAAATAAAATTTAACTCATTTTCACATATTTTGATTTCTTTTAGATGATAATAAGGCATGGGAACAATTGATAAGTTTATATCCATATTTGGTGGAGTGTACAACTACAAATTCGACACAAGTTTCTAGGCCCCTCAGGGAGGCTCTACTTCAGTTCTGTGATTTACTAACCCCGCCATGCAGTAAAGCAGCTGTAGGTGTTAAAAATGCAAACACCTTGATTAACTAAACATTTTTGTTTTTTTTTTTGTAAAGTTTTTGTACCTGTGCTAAAGAGATATTATTTCTGTTTTAATCTGCGATTTTACATTTTTATTATACCTACTGCCATAAACAGTTTGGCACAGCACCCACAATTGATTTTAATTACTACTCCCTGTGTAAATAATTAATATTTAGCATGTTTTCAATAATTTTTAGAACGTTTTATATTTGTTATTTTATTAATGTTATTTTAATTTATATAAAAACATTGTTATTATAGCTGTAATTATTTCCCACTGTATTATTATTAGTGTGAATAAATTTAAGTACCATTAATAACAGTTTTATTTTTCTTCTTTTAGGATAATATTGTAGAATAATGTAGGTAAAAAATGATTTGGTATCAATTTTAAAATATATATTTACAATGTCTAAATAATTTCACAAAAAACGAATACATAACCAATCTAACTGTAAACTGTAAAGTGTTTTTTTGTAAATAGTTGTTCGAATATCAGTTTATCAAAATAGATTATGTAATATATGTATATATAAAGTTCTATTATTAAAAATACCCATAATACTAAAAATTATATAAAACCAATTTTGTATAAATATATAATTTAGAGTATTTGATATGAATTAGTGAACAACAAACTTCACTAACAATAAGTAAAATTATGTGTGTAAAAAATTAAAATCATTAAGTAGCAATAAACATTAAAAAATAAAAAGTTTATTTACAGAATATTCATATATACTCAAAAATAAAATTTTGATGATTGCTTTTGATCTCTCGAGTGTGTATACAATTAAATAATTATTAAATAAAATATAATATAGCTTTTTTGAGAGTAAAGAACATTAAAAAAATGTTAATTAAAGCTAACACTTATTCTAAACACTAAAATAAACGTGTCAAAGGCACTGATACATATGTATGTTAGTGAACAAATAATGTATTATATAGTCTATAAATCTATGATTATTAATAACGATTGTCGAGTATATACATTATTAATATTATAAAAGGCACCAAAATGGATGGATTTGTTTTTTATGAGCAACATGTTTTTATATTAACTTCAAGCTAACATAAAACAGTCAATTTTATTATATATTGCACGAAAATTTGTGCTTAATGTTCCTCTAAAATTATACATTTACGAACAAGTTTAAATGTGAATTTTAGAACACACCCTTATAGATGTGCAAATCAATAAAATATTTATTAAAAATTGTGTAAAATTAAACAATGTCAAATGTATAACATGTAACATCAAATAAGGGGTTATTCACACAACAATAAATAAATATTAAAACGCCGTTGTTTTTCAGTACAATACAACAAGAAGTACAACTAACTTAATAATAAAAACTATAAAATGTGTATGAAAACATACCAAATAGTGAATAAACGTTCCCATATTTTGTGCGACAATAAAAATGCTTATTTAAAACTTAAAAAAAACGAAAACAATTTCATATAGTTTTAACTTAAATGTTATTTTTGATTTGTTATTGCCATTTAAAGCGTACACTAATCGTACAATAGCAGATACAATATGGAAACCGCAAAAACGGCCCAAAATGGGAAATTATAGATATTCCAAGAAAGTTGTCATTATGGGTAAAAATACTGTTTTTTTTTACAGAAATTGATGTAAAAAAAATATGTGGCAACCTTTAAACCCAAAATAAAAGAAATATGGTGTTAATTTTGTACAAATAATAATAATAATATCATTTCTGCGGTTTCCACACTTGTATCCCTAAAGTATATTGCAAACTCGAAGTAAATAAACAACTTTTACAACCAAATAAGGCTGTTGTCAGGCTTTGAAGTGGGGGGATTGATTAACGACTGCACATCCTCCAAAATGGGAAACTCCTCGCCCAATTGCAATGTCGGTACTAAATCATCGGTCGAGTCGATGTTATCACTTAAAGTCGAGAGATCCGGTGTGTCCATGGTATGACTTTCGCTGCCAACGTCCATGTTGTCGTCCATGTTGGCCAAATAGTCTTCAGGGGTGTGCGGGAGCGAATAGGTATTGCCCATACCTAAAGTCGTACGTCAAAAGTTAGTACCCACATGAAATACGTATGCTGCGCGTTTTACTGCGCATCAAATGATACCGACCTAAGCCGCTGTCCCCAGACTCCTGTCGCGAGTGGTCGGTGTAGCTACTTAAATAGGGGTCCATGGGACTGCTGCTTCTCAGCATGTCTTGCCTCCTGATTTCTTGCTGTCTTTGTTTCAATTTTTCACGTTCCAGCTGCAACAAGTGGAGCCGTGTTTGCTGCGCCTGATTGGCTGGGGACGATTGCGACAAGGTCGAGTGCCATGCTGGGCCGATTAGGTTGTTGGGAGATCTCTGCTGCAAATGTGTGGCTGGAAAGAAACGTAAAGTTAGAGCGGTTTAGTGGCGGACCAGTTTAGCTTTTATTTTTTTATTTTGAAAGTTTTTTTCACGTGATTTTATTTAATTGAACTTACGAATTCGAGGGTCAAACCACGAAGTAGTGCGAGTCTGATGGTTAATAAAGTAAATTTCGCCTTCGTTCGTTTGAGCCTGCTCCCATCCATCAGGTAAAGGCCCTAAGTCTACTTCTGTCGTTATTTTGGCTGTCGGAACAAAATTTCAAAAGTCAATTTTCGAGCTTAAACTGGCGAACAACAAACAACCCATCTCCCACAATATACAAGGAGTTGAAAAGTCCCTAACCACAACCTTTTTCAGTGGCACACGTGCATACAGAAGAGGGTGCTTATATAATATTATATGGAACCCCTTTTGTCAACATTCAGATTTGGATTGCATACTTTATAAGAATGTTTAGGGGTTCCATTTTACCACCCGCTTCTATAACATAGTAACACTTTTCAACCCGACCTCGTAAGCGACCGTTTTTTGTTAATTTAATTTTTTTACTGACATGTTGAGTTAGGTGACTGATGTGATGGTGGCGAGCTTAACAAGTGTTCTGCACTTTGGTGCTGCGCAGCAGCAGCCTGCGCAGCAAGGGTCTTCCTTGGATCCTCCCATGTTGTCGTTCTTGTCGTGTGACTGAAAAAAAACACAAGTTTAATACATTAATTAGTTTATAGTATATTATGTATCAAGTTTGATAAACGCCATTTTATACACGAATTTAATTTAGTGTATAGAAAAGTTTATAAACGAGGTGCATAATATACTTTTTCTACGACAAATACTTATTATTATCTTAAAATGATTTCAATTAAAAATTTGTATAGAGCGCCATCTATGAAACAATAGGGGAATCTGTGTGTCACCGTCAAATGTCAAATTTTTTTATTTTATAAACACAGATTATGAAGGTTACAAATCGAAATGTATTTCTTGAAAATTGACAGTTTTTCACAGTAAAAGTAAAGAAAATGTTTTATGAGCACTTTACAGTGGAGTCCGTGTCCGAATTTCAGTTATAGTTTACTGCCGGCAAAATTAAAAGGTCAGTACAATGTTCAAATAAACTTTTCAAATATTGGCGTTGAGAAACTATTTAATACTTTTGTATTGAGATAATAAAATAATTTTCACATTTAGTATTATTTTACAAGAAAGGCACTATACTTTAGCGATTGTATGACATTTGACAACTGTCAACTAACTTAAAACTAACTTCAGCCCGTGACTAAAAACCTGTTGCTAACTTCAGCCCGTGACTAAAGCGCCATAAAGGCACAACTTGTCAATGTGTATTTAAAAGGTCACTTAGTATCATGGAAACATGTACGATAAAGGGCGTTTTAAAGGTGGGAGTAGAAAAAATTATTTAAAATGTTCTAAAACGGTCTAAACTGCATTAACGGAATTTAATGTCTTCGAACTGTTTAAATTGTTTTAAATTTCTCTAAAAATGTCCTACCCCAGACCGCAAAACACCATTCCCTGCATATGTCAGGAATATTCCCAGGATTATTCCAAGCGCACCAGAATATTCCCAGGAATATTTATCTCGTAATCAAATGTCCGCTTTTTGGTTAACCCAGTCATCATAAAAAGAGTATTCCATGTAGCGGCATGCATAAGACTTAAGTATTGTTAGAATATCCCTTAACATAATTTTGGGGGATTTACTCCTAGGCCCTTATGGCCACATATACCCAGGAACTTAAATTAACTAGCTATAATAAATAATAGCTATAGCTATATAGCTATAGTAGATCAGTCCTATTCTAATCATTGTTTAACTGTGCCATCACAGACGCATATCTCGAACTGATATTTTTAACCTATTGGTATATATAGTTATCAAGCGTGCGTAAGCAACGGTGAGAGGTATTGAGATGGTGTTTGGAAGTTTTAAAGGATCATTCTATGAAATATTCCAATTGAATATTCCTAGAATGAAGGCGATAGAGCATATTCATGGAATATTTTCGAACCTTCATTGCAGTCTGGGACAATGCTTACAATGTTTTAAATGTGTCCAAAATAACTAAAAACTGTTTTATAATTATAACTGCCTAAACATTTGCGTAAAATGTAGTAGAAATGTGCCTTTCAAAATAAAAATAAAATATTTATTGATTTCCCGGTCAATGGCCTTATTATTATAATATTATAGGATCAATACATCGAATTTAAAAACTATAATTTAATAACATATTCGTTTAAATGTTTATTCTTTTTATCCGTTATAACGACGTCCACGAAGAGGTAATTGTAAAAGTAACTCAAAAAAAGTAAACATGAAAAAATAAACAATATAAAGCTATTAAATAGTTTCTGAAAAATACTTTGATTTTGTTATTGTTAAGCCGGATTTATAGTTTGACGGAACGGAACGGAACGTAGACGTAGACGCACTGCAAAAAGATCAACTTTAAAATGTATGTACTCTTGTTTATAAATGAACGTAAGCGTATGACGTAACGTAAGCAAAACGGACTGAAACGGAAGAGTTGGTCAACATTTATCTTTTACAGTGCGTTTCTTACGTCTGGCCAATAGGAAACCAGTAAACATAACCCCACCTACATTTTAAAATAACGACTATTAATAATTATTACAATATTATAAATGACATTTGATAGTTGTTTTTTTGTGATCTGAGGTTTATAAATTTGTGTTTGTGCTAAAAAATGGACATCTAATAACTTATTAAATACAGTCATTCTCGTATACTTAAAGAACTGATCTGGATCAACTATTTTCATTTTTAAAAAATAATTGTAGGCATTCTCCACTTTTCTGTTAAGGTTAATGGGTCTTGTTTTATAACGTCTTGGGCGCCTAATTATTGTTTTTCCAGTTTGTCGACAATTTTTCAATGCTGCTGCACACAACAGTAGACCCACAGCACCAAAAAGTATACCTTCATGTATTTCATAATCCATTGTGACACGGAAGACGAAACAGAATTAAACACAATTAAACAAACACAGGCAAGACGGCGCATGCGAAAAAAGTCCGTTCCGTCGATTTATAAATTGAATACTTTTTTACAGTCCGTTTTTTACGTATCCAGTGCGTCTACGTCTACGTTCCGTTCCGTTCCGTCAAACTATAAATCCGGCTTTATATTACAGTTCAAGGCCACTAATGTCAAAATTTATACCGAAATATAAAATCACCCTGAATATTATTTTTACAAAATTATGCAATTAGTTTTTGTCATTTAATAAGTGCTAATCAATTTTTCTGTAGGTATTATATTCGTATCGCCCTGTATGTGACCTTGAACCCGCTGCAATAGTAAAATCGAGGTCTACAAAAAGGAAAATTTCATTCCATTCAAGTAAAGAGTTGGTGCGGCAACACAGCATAATAAACTTATTTAACATTTAACTAGCTTTAGTGCGTCTGTTAATTTTACAGAAGAAGGAGGGGAGGCACTGATGCTTACAAATAAATATCATTTTATTTGATTAAGAACAAAGAAATTAGTCCAAATGTCCAATGTACACAAAAAATATTAGGATTGTTTTTTATGTGCTAAGAACATACACTTTTAGAGCTTTAATGTTTTATGTTGTAATTACTTCTATAGAGACAATTTAAGTATCACAGAGAAAAAAATTACAAAATGTGTCTAAATACATGCTGTGACTTTATGGCGTTTTAGTGACTTTTAGGCTTTTTGTCACGGGCTGGAGTAAGCTTTATAATAAATGAAAAAAATTGAGATTAAATTCGTCTGATAGCTGTCAGATGTCAAATAAAATTGGCAATAAATTCTTTTTTGTGATCTTCGTAGATAAAGTATAGTATGCAACTCGTTTATAAACTTTTCTAGACACTCGTTTTTATTAAACACTCGCTTGCAAGTTTTGATCGTGCCTTATTAAAACTAAAGTAAAACTAAAATGAATTGGTACATAATACACTATAAAAATGGTATAAAATGTTCCAAACCAAGGTTTTATAAATAAACAATAAAAATACCACCAAGTGTCTAGAGAAGTTTATAAAACGTTTTGTATAATATACTTTTTCTACGACGAACACTAAAATTAAGTAATTTTGAAAAATAATTAAATAAAATCTGACATCTGTCAGAAAATTGTATGACATTTGACAACGGTCAACTAACTTAAAGCTAACTTCAGCCGGTCAATAAGAAACCTGAAAGTCACTGTTGCCAACTTCAGCCCGGTGTTAAAAGCTTGTCAATGTGTATTTTAAAAATCACAACGTCATGTTTTAAACATGGGAGTCGAAAATTGTATATTATGTATCAGGCTTGATAAACGCCATTTTATTCACGAATTTAATTTAAACACGAGCGAGTGCATAACTAAATGAAAAGTTTATAAACGAGTTGCTTACTATACTTTTTCTACAACAAATACTTATAATTATCCAAAAATGATTTAAATTAAATATTTGTAGAGCGACATCTATAAAACAATAGAGAAACCATTTTAACTTGTGTTCTGTGTGGGAGGTCAAATGTCAAAATTTTAAAAGAACTGTCTAAAATATCATAACTTTGACTAAAAATATTTATTAAAATTAAATAATATTGAGTAGAACAAATAGTTTAAGCATGAAGAAAAAAGCATGGCGAGCACATCACGTAATAATTTAAGTCTAATTACTCATAAATTAATATTTGATAAGGTTCCAGGTAAGCAAATAATCTATCAAATAATAAATAATTGATTGATTAATAAATTCCTGCTAGGGGTTTTTAAAATATTTTATGGTAAATGTTACCATAAAACTGATAACTAAAGTCAGTTATGTATGTATGTATAATTTATTTTTGTTTAGTGGTGGACCACAACCTGTTGCTTTTCCCGAAATGTGTTTGTCAGTGCGTTTAATTTTTTGCAGTGTAGTAGTAATTATTTAGTATAATGCATCAACTTCCGGTAAGCTTGTGACTTTTAAAGGACGTTCGGTTTCAATGAAAACAGGTAAAATCAATGACTCAGTGCTAAACGACTTTTCGATTCGGTTTAATTTTTCTTGGAATAGAATCCGTGTAGGTACCGGTTTCTCAAAATCTAAATTTCAATTATGAATACCCCATTAAAAGAATATTTAAAAATGTAGGAAAGACATTTAACTGTACTTTATGAAAAAACATAACGTTATGTTATTCTTTGAAAAGTGCGTTTTTTTTCTCACTTAAATTTACTTCCACGGGTGTACATCAGCGTTTCTTAGTTAAGGTTCGGTCACCAAGCCTTTTATTGCCAAATCGACTATTTGAAACATTACAGTACAATTAACATATGATGCAAAGACAATTTAAAATTAAACCGCTGTTATAACCATTAAAATTGACGGAATGACCTTTATTAAATTTAATGCATTGTGGTTTATAGTTTTGTTTATTATTTTATAATCTAGTTTCAAGCAATTCAAAATTTTATAAATAATTCTTTATCGAATTCATTTTAATGCCAATTAATTATTAAATTAATGAAATAGTGGATTTCCTAGCAAAACCAAATATTTTTTTTAAAATCTTATCTAACGATATTTTTAATTTCTGTATAATATCAGTGTGCAAATTTAATAAATAATCAGTTAAAATTTCTATTTTTAGTTGCTAAAACACAAAAAAAAAAAATTATAACACCACA